CCAATTGATGTGGGTTTTAAATAGTCACTTCCTACTTCAGAAAGATTAGGAACTATGTGATTTCGTTTACTTTTTATGAGGCTTTCGAATGAAATGTTGCTCGAACAGCACGGACGAATAATGGCGGAGTTATAGTTAAAATACCAGAGATGGCTACTTTTCGCAAATCGACGATGGTGCTTGCTCATTTTGTAAATTTTATAACTCAGCCAGAGTAAATCAGAAAGTTTCTTTTAGTTTTCATAATCCCAGTTTTGATAGTAGAATCCGAATATGAAATAAAAAGTATATGTCAATTTTTCACTCGTGACCAGTCGTTGGCATGATATTCTATCGACTGACGAAGTCTCTCTTAAAAACATAGGTATTTATATATAAATTTTACATATACGTGAACATACGAAAAACATATGGAAAAGAGTGATGACGTACGGGACATAACATGACGTCAGAAGAATAGAAAAGAACATGATGGACATATGACATCAGCGGATCAGGACGGACAAAGAATAGTCACATTCCTAAACATATGATGTTGGTATGCCTTTATGACATAACAAATAATAAATTCAAAAAACATGACTAGAACTTTTTTTCCAGGGTAATATCTAATAATCATTTTATTCGGTCTGTGGCTTTTAGTGGAATTTCACTAATCCCGGAAAAAGAAGCAGGACCTCGCTCTTCCTTGCAAATCTCACGAGATCCAGTCGGAATTTGGTGGGAGCTTGTATCTTGGTAGAAAAAACAAGATCCCGATTATTTCAGAGAGATTCTGCGCGCGACTCATTCACTGTTATTTGGCATTGTATTGGTGTATATAAAGAAAACAGATATGAACGAGGAAAGTTTAGGAATTTATCTATCTAACACTTGATGTGTTCATGCATAAGTTAGTTGAGAATATAAAGTCAACATGCAGAACTATAAGAACTATTCACAGTCTAAAATGACAATTATGAGAACTGTGCAGAACTATGTGGAAGCGGTAGGCTAAGCGTGAGCCAACGGATACCATTTCAGTTCAGAATACTTCTCATAGTCCTCAATGTGCACTATGAATAGTTCTGAAAAGTTCCTATAGTTCTCAATGTAGACTTTGAATAAACCCGTCGCGGTATGAGAGCCTCCAAGGCTTCTAAACTGTCCAAGCGTTCAAAATATTTAGGGGGGCTATTATTACGACTTGCGTACAAAAAGTTTCCAGAAGAAAAGGAGCTTCTGAATTTCGATGAGCTTGCCTTTTAAATCACGGTGATCTCAAGTAATCTGCAAAAACTCTTTTTCGAGATTAAAAATGTAAGTTTTATTCACATTATTTATACACAATCATACTTATGAAAAGTATTCAAAATACACAGTTATATAAAACGTAGACCTAATCTTGTAGTATCAAACAAAGGACATTCTAAGAAATAGAGAGAAAGGCTCTCCTCCGTCACCTTGTCAAAGATGTCAAATCAAAGGCTGCACTTCAGAACTATACAAAGTCAACATTTAGTTTCTATGTGTTCTTTAGAAAATAAATTCATTCAATTCAATTCATTTTCCTGACTCCAGTTACTTAATCTAAGAGGATTAGGTAACGTGTAAATTTCCCGACATTGTCTAACCTTACGTATCCTAAGATGGTCTACTATATGACTGTACATTCTTACCGGATCCTCTCATGTCCCTAATCTTATTTTATGTAGGTCCGAGGAACATCCCATTTTTTCATCAAGGTGTGATGGTGCGATGATTTAAAACTTTTAGACTTTTAGAATGTACTGACTATCCATCCTATAACATTCAGTGCGGTTACTCAACTTAAACTAGTGTCAACTATAGTGACTCACTCTCACTCTGCTGACCTCGCTCCCTTCGGCTAGTCCGACTTTTTCTGGAAGAAAGTCTGAAAGTCTAAATTACTGTTCACTACCATAACATTTACAACATCCAAAATCAGCACCGTTTAAATGAAAACTATTAGTTTTCTGTAAAATATTGAACAACGTTGAAAATTTTCGAGTATATGAAAGTCACCAGAGCGAAATTTGTCAGAAGCAAAGACATCTACCGGTGTCTTTCGTTTTCCACTATAAAAGAAATATGTTTGGGTTACATTTTAAAGTTAAAAGTTTCACAGTTGCCTATATAAGTGCAGAAGATTTTTTCCTGAAGTGTCTACCAGAAAACAAAACGACAGGATTTCCAAAAGACTTCCGAGTTTTTAACGATCTAAATCACAGTGGTGAAGAGAGATTCATCAATATTATCTGAGAAAGCAAACGGACACTATTCATGTTTTCAAAAAATATTTTAATTGACTTAATAATTTAATTTCTAATGGAAGACAAAAATGATATAAACTATATAAAAAAATTTCTAAACTCTCAGCCCTATTTCTTATAAAATCTGAATGATACTCAACAGTATTATTTATTTCGATTGTTGTTTATGAGCTTCCCATGATTTATAATATAATAAAATTTCATGAAGATAACCAATGTGTCGTGGTCTCCAACCGAGTTGATCCATTGCTTTTGCTGGATTTATTATTGAATCCGAGTCCCTATAGAGAGAGTGAATAGAAATAACAAATTTGAATTTGAATGAAAGCAAAAGTATTTAATTCGAATTTTCAGCAACGTGACTTAGTCATTCATTCTGATTTGTATATTCCAAGAAAATCATCAAAACTTGTAAACTTCAGTTATGAATAGAAAAATGCCATAATGGAAATATGTCTGTTCATTGCATAATATCTCTCACCAACATGATTCTGAATTCAGCTGAGTAAATGATATAGAGCCATTCTCAATCAAACAAAAAAAAGAGAAGTCGCGTTGCAGAATATCGCTTCTCATAATGTAAAAAAAAACTGTGTAATCGAACTCTTTATCCAGTCGATAGATCAAATACTTACCAACTTCGAAGATCCTCTTCCGTTTCATCATTAATTTCATGATATTTAATTTTATCACTTGTCCACCCGTTAACTTTAGCCATTTTCAATCGAACTTCTTCAAATGTTGGATTGTCATTTGGTGCAGCTAAATTAAATACTTGATTTCGTACAATATTTGGATTTGTTCGACCAATTAGAACATAACCATCACCTAGATCATCTACATGAACCCAACTCCAACGTTTATCTTTACGTCCCCATAAAATAATTTCATCTTTCTCGTTATAAATCCAATCAGCAACAGCACCACCAGTACCACCATAAACCCATCCAGGACGAACAACAACTGGATAAATATATTTATCATTTGATAATACTTTATTTTCAAAATTTTCTTTATTTTTCATGATCGTTGTTCCTACAAGAGAACGTTGTTCGAAACTGAATTAAATTTTGTCTAGATGGTAATTGAGTTTTATTATTTAAATGCCAGAAAAAAGTTTGCGTTTGTTCTTTCGCGTTCTTTTAATTCAATTTGCAATTGGTGTATTTTGTCTGGAAATTTTGTTCATGGCAGTCGTCCCTAGTGAGAAACTTACTCGAATCTTACTAAGATTTTAACGAGTGCGCCAGGATAAATGTTCCTCCACGTATTTTCTATTTTTTTCGTATCTTTTTAGGACCCTAAGGTTAATGTTTTTTTTAAAAGATGCGCCGCGAAATACTCTACAAACCCATACTTAAACTTTAATTTCAGAACTTCAGTCAAGGAAACTACTCAAATTATACGAAGGCGAAAAAAACTGAAAACTTTCTAAATTTTGCATTTTTTTCAACTTGAACTTTTTATTTCTGCTATTATTTCCGCAAAAAGGTGTAGCAAAAGTGAGAACTCCTTTGCTACGTTTGAATATGCTGTTTTTCATAGTCTGTAATAAGTTTTTTTTAGAGCAGATGGTGTGCGGGAGAACGAGATTACAAAAATTGACAGTCCTGCGTTTCCAACAAATGTGCGGAATCAAAAAAATCCAAAAACACGACTGAAGTTTTGATTTTGCAGTTAGGTAGAGAAGAGCAATCATTTTCGATCAGAGTAAAACAAACCGGATCGGAAAATCTTTTGTTTTGATAGAGATATGAAACTTTTACTAAAAGCACCACTATACGCAGAATTTAAAAATTAATGAAAAATTGCGTGACAACAGATAGAAAAATCATTATTTCTCCATGGATTTTGATGTGAAAAAATTTGAAGTGTAGCTGAAACGTAGAGCGAAGTCACGGTTACATAATGGCTGATTCAGGTTTTCTTACTTTCAAAACGTTAACACAAGAAATCGTTTTTCAGTTTTCAGTTTTTTCGTTTTTCGTATAATTTGTGTGGTTTTCTTGATTGAAGTTCTCAAACTAAAGTTTAAGTATGGGTTTGTAGAGTATTGTGCGGCGCATCTTTTATGATGCAGCTAGTGAAGAGTGCTAAAGACTACACTATTCATCTATCTCCTAGATGTTCCATGGCATCAGAAGCCTTAGAGTCCTAAAGAAACACGAGAAAAAAAGAAAATATGTAGAGGGATATTTATCCTGGCGCATCCGTTAGAATAATCTTATTAAGATCTTGGTAAGATTTCGCTTACACGTGTCTAAGATCTTACACAAATCTTACTAAAATCTTGAGACCCGAAAATTTTAAGGTTTGATAAGATTTTGCTAAGATCTTACTGAGATTATACTGTCTAAGATTTTTTCAAGATTCGGTAAGAAGCAACTAGGGTTTTAATAGTAAGAACGACGACGTTTTCTTAATAATATTCATTCAAGATTCTTTGAATTTTTAATCCGCATTATCCAAAGCAGCAGTTGAACAATATTGAAAAATGAATATCAAAAATCTTAAAAGATAAGATCCTAGTAAGATAATTTTAAGAAGTGTCTACAATTTTTACCACGGGATAGTGAATCTGTTTTGTAGAAAAAGCAAAAATCATTTTTTCACTCAAACTATCTGAGAAGAGTGAGAATGATAAACAACTATTAAACTGACAAAATGATCGTTTAAAAAGACATCGATCATTTATGAGAAATTTTCTAGCTGAGTGAGCAGTTCATACCTGGTTGTGGTTTAATTGTTTCATCAATTGGTCGATCACCCACTACTCCATAGGTCATTATTCCTGTTGTAAAAATGTAAAGTGGCTTATATTGTTGTCCGTTTTTTACTCGTTCCTGACCAGCATCCAAAACAAATTGTAAAAATTTATCCGACGAATCTTTATTCCATCCTATTGCATCGATAATAATTGAACATTTTAATAATTCTTCTTTATAAGAATTGATATCATCTATGTTAGCGACAATTGGTATTATTTCTTCTTTTACTAATTCCCGCTCAAATTTTTCATTACGTATCAAACCATAGACTTTGTAGCCAGAACGACGATAAGCTTTAGCAACACCAAATCCAATATAACCATTGACACCAACAATAAAAACACTTGTTGACATTTAGAGAATGGGTGTCTGATTAATCTAAAATAATTTAGACGATAAATTGTGTCTTTTGAATCTTTAAACTTGCATTACTCTTGGTATGAACCTTCTTAAAGCAAACGTTCGTTTAGTAGAGCACATTTTTTACTTTAAAATATAACCGTCAACAAAAGAATATAAACACATTTTTCAAATCACGAAAACCCTCTCGTATATGTCAACTTCGTTATTTTTAATGCTTGTCATTTTACTATCAGAAGAAAAAACGAAATATTTGTTTTCAACAAGGTTGACCTTTCGTTTTCTTTTTCTTAATGTTCTTTTCGTTACGTCACTCTATCACATTGATCGTATAAGAAGCAAAGATAAGAGATGTCAACTCACAGAATATGATACGTCTATACGGAGCTAGAAATATGTTTGTTTATTAGAGCCACAAAATCCTCTGATAAACTCTTGTATGGGTTTAAGAAAAATGTCCGTATATGAAAGTTAGACATGCATCGAGTGAGTAATTGACTAAGGATTTTATATTTTTTCAAAACCTGGCGTTTCGTAAATTGCTTCGTTAAAACTTTTCTGACTTGGCAAGAGTGTAGAGCAAACATTTCTCTACAAAATGAGTGGCTGGACAACTCTGTATGATTTGTTTTGAGAGTGGTTTTTTTGTTTTTTTTTGACATTGCATAGTATTGTTCCCAAAAGGGTTAACAAGGAGAAAAATTTTGTATACATGTTCAATATACAGACAGTAGAATCGCTCCTTTTGGACGCACCAATAAAGACAAACAAGGGAGAGAGAAGAGAATAAAGAAAGTAAAGAAAATAAAAGAACACACAAAATTGATAGAAGTAGACAAAAAATAAAAGAACAAGATCAAATATACAATATATACATCACGGTGGATATACTCCTGGGGGAGATACTTGTGCACGAAATCTTCAATAAAGAGAGAAGAAGAACGAAATATATCTTTTTGAGATTCATGATCACAAAAGAAAGAAAAAAGATCAAGATTCGCGTGATGAGCTTGCTGTGCCAAACGATTAGGAAACACACTATTCTTTCAAAATTCCATAGATCTATAATAGGAACGAACTCTATCCGGTGATGTAGCAATAAGATAAGTCTCTCAAGTTTCTCTATATGCAGATGCTTCAGGAGAGATATCAAGATGGTCCTTAAATCTCATCCAATAGTCATAAGATGCATGTAATGCAAACTTCAAGTGAAATTTTTCATTAGTGTTAAAACTTTTGAACCAAAAACGACAATCTTGAAAAAGTTCGACTTTTGTCGAAAACTTTTTTTAAAAAAACAAAAAAGAAAAAACGCGGAGCAATCTAGGACCGGTTTCGACCTTGCTCAAGGGTCTCTTCAGCTGGGTTATGGTGTGAAACATAGTGAAAAAAATGAATGCACGTACTTACACTTGCCAAGTCAGAAAAGTTTTAACGAAGCAATTTACGAAACGCCAGGTTTTGAAAAAATATAAAATCCTTAGTCAATTACTCACTCGATGCATGTCTAACTTTCATATACGGACATTTTTCTTAAACCCATACAAGAGTTTATCAGAGGATTTTGTGGCTCTAATAAACAAACATATTTCTAGCTCCGTATAGACGTATCATATTCTGTGAGTTGACATCTCTTATCTTTGCTTCTTATACGATCAATGTGATAGAGTGACGTAACGAAAAGAACATTAAGAAAAAGAAAACGAAAGGTCAACCTTGTTGAAAACAAATATTTCGTTTTTTCTTCTGATAGTAAAATGACAAGCATTAAAAATAACGAAGTTGACATAATTCACCGAGTCCAATTCAGTATACAATTTATCTGGGTCTCTCAAATAGATCAAATACATATCAAGATCCAAACGTAAAACAAATGAAAGTTGAACGAATATTTCTACATGAACAATATGAATCATACTACGCAGATGATATTTGTATAGTCAAATTAACTAAAAAAATTTATCCAACACAAGCAGTACGTTATATTTGTTTACCACAATCATCAACTGCTGATGTTAAAATTAAAGATGAAGTTGAAATTGCAGGGTGGGGTGCATTGAAAGAGTTTAGTGGTAAGTACACGGATGTGCGTGTCTTAACTTGATAAAGATTTTCATTTATAATAGACTTTCTTAATAAATCAAGTATTTATCCTGAAATGTTAATGCAAGCTAAAATTGAAATTCTACCAAATGATAATTGTCCGTTCGGAAAAAATTTCAATTCAGATAAACAAATTTGTGCTGGTACATCAGATTTTAAGATTGATATATGTGGTGGAGATTCAGGTGGTCCATTAATGAAACAATTAGGAAGTGTTGGTAGTCAGCAGCGATATTGGTATTCATTTGGTATTGTTAATTATGGTCCAAAAAATCCTTCATGTGGTGAACATACGTATGCTGCTAGTGTATATGTACGACTGGCAGCTTATCGACAATGGATTAATGAAAAATTAAAAATATCGTATTTGAATATCTAAAATATACTTTTTTCTTTTGACGACTTTAAAGTTATTTTATAATAAAACAAGATTTAAGAAGAGAAAATTTGATCTTACCATGAACGTGTTGAAATAAATTCTAGCAAGCATCCGACCTATTAGTTAGACCATCATCTATATCAATGAAGAACAAGCACAAAAATTTAGCCGATTAACCATTGGTGTACATAAGATTTCGATTTTTCAGATTGACATCAGCAGGTAAACACTTTACTGTCAAAAAGCGTTGATTAATATCTTATATCACAAAGGATAGTCTGATCAAAGTTTACACACACTCTTCATTTTCATCATCAAACAAAAAAGTTTGTTATTAACGTCTATAAAGAGTGGCCCAGAAGTCCTGACCCGATTTGAATAATAAATTTTTCTATAATGAAACAAGTGGTTGTAAATTTGTCTCGATGAAGAAACGATGCAGTAAAAAATGCTCTACAAGATGACTATTGATTGCCCTGTTAGCTCATCTAGTAAGAAAGTGATAGGCTTAGAAATGTGCTTCACAAAAAAGAAAAATCAAGCGTGAGCCCAGTCCATATGGTGGTGCTTTCAGTAAAAGTCCCATAACTTCATCAAAATAAAACGTTTTTCGATCGGGTTTGTTTTGCTTTGATCAGAAATGATTGCCCTTCTCTACCTAGTTGTAACATCAAAACTTTGATCACGTTTTCCGTTTCTTGCTGGGTACACTGTTGGAAACGGGGTTGTCGATTTTTGACACGGGACTATCCATTGTGTGAAGAGAAGATGGATTCCATAGCCGATTGATATAATTCAATTTGTTTCTGCATAATGGTGGAATATTGAATCATTTCTCGTTGAAAAGAGTCTTTCATTGCATTAAATGAGTCATTGTGGCTCCATTTGTGTTTTTCATACTTTCAATATGTTCTTTTTGTTCATCACCACAAAAAGTCTGTTAATAATTACAATAAAGTGTTAATAGCATCGATCATTTCATTGGTTGTCAATAGTTTTTGACTTGTTTTGGTCCGGTACATAATCTCGTGGACGATGATGCGTTGTATACCTGGATTGGATGAACATTTAGAAATTTTATACTAGCCGTCTGAGTGAAGTTGCACTGTTAACAGAACATCATAGCCTTCAGCTTTTATTTTCTGAGCTATGTCTGTGTGTATATCATCATAAATTATGTCTCCTTTTTGATCTAAATATGTTTTCGGACTATAGCATTGAAAGTATTGACATGTGTTTTCAGAGAGCTGTAGACAGAAAAAAGTCAAAGCAATAATGACCCATAGTTCTCAGTGCAGTCAAGTCTAACTTAACCTAATCGGGAAAGACTTTTCCAGATCTTTTCTGACTTACTTCCAGTTTTAAATAGCCCCAAAGTCATTTCTGAAATACTCCATTTTATCTTCTAGAATACAGATAAATGTATTCTAAACCTTTAAGATTTTGATAAGATTCAATGACTCTACGTCCATTCACCCCATTGTTTTACTGTCAGTCATCTATATAAGTAATACCGAAATATGAATGATTTTACGGCTATTTTCTTTCAGACTCTGCTAGTACTTGCTCTCTCGAAAGTGTTCAACAACTTTTTAGACAGTACATGCAGACCAAAAGTCGGTCCAATGGTACCGGTTTCGAAGGGACAAATTACAGAAACAGCAACGATGGCCATACAAATCACTCCTATATATAACTTACAAACATAAACCGATATCCTCCCCCATTTGGTGTCTTTCCCAAATGAAAGTTGACGTCTGACTATTCTTCTTCTTCAATAAAGGGTGGCCCAGAAGTCCTGACCCGATTTAAATAATAAATTTTTCTATAGTGAAACAAGTGATAGTAAATTTGTCTCTATGAAGAAAAGATGCAGTAAAAACGCTCTACAAGATGACTATTGATTGACCCCGTTAGCTCATCTAGTAAGAATGTTATAGACTTAGAAATGTGCTTCACAAAAAAGAAAAATCAACCGTGAATTCGGTCTCGGTATTTTTGCTTTAACTTCTGTTCCTTAGGTTCCCTAGAATAAGTTCCTTTTTTAATAGAAGCGTCGTGAAATTCTCTACAAAATCCCTACCTAAACTTTAATTTCAGAACTTCAATCAACAAAAACTAAGCAAATTATACACGAGGCGAAAAAAATAAAAACTTTGTAAATTTGGTTTGTTTTACTTAACCATCTTCTTCTCCTATTATTTCGGAAAAAAAAAGCGGACCAAAAGCGACAACATAATTTGTGTTGGGTACTTTCAAATGTGCTCTTTCTTGTGGTTTGTAAAAAGACTTTTTAGAGCAGATGGTGTGCTCGAGAATCAAGTTTCAAAAATGTGTCAAAAATCGACAACCCTGTTTCCAACAGTGTACCCAGCAAGAAACGGAAAACGTGATCAAAGTTTTGATGTTACAACTAGGTAGAGAAGGGCAATCATTTCTGATCAAAGCAAAACAAACCCGATCGAAAAACGTTTTGTTTTGATGAAGTTATGGGACTTTTACTGAAAGCACCCCCATATGGACTGGGCTCACGCTTGATTTTTCTTTTTTGTAAAGCACATTCTAAGCCTATCACTTTCTTACTAGATGAGCTAACAGGGCAATCAATAGTCATCTTGTAGAGCGTTTTTTACTGCATCGTTTCTTCATAGAGACAAATTTACAACCACTTGTTGACATTAGTGATGTTGGCTATAGCTTGTTCATAATCAAATAATATTGTTTGTGATAAAGACAATGAAAACAGGAGAACAATACGCAGCATATTTCCGTTGTGTTATTTTGGTACAAAAGAATATGGTCGATGAATATAGTGTGTTTTTACGTCTTTATATATAGTACAGAATCAAATATGTTGAAATGTCTTTTGTATTTTCTCCCCTTATCATAATTTTCTGTGTCATTTAGTGATCAGGTTTCTTTTTTCTTCCTTCGTCCTTTGTTAAATGGAATAGCGGAACTTTCCCTTATCGATGTCATGGAGAATTTCCCTTTCCGGGAAAAAAAAAAATTCGACTTTCTCCCCGCACATAAGTTCTAGGTCTATTTCTCCCACTTTAGCACCGGAAAATGTTTCACACTTCTTTAGGTGTCTAGGTTTTTAGGTTTCTTTCATTTTCCCATGGGAAAATATTTCTATAACTTTCCCACGGGAAAATATATCTAAAGTTTTTATTTCGATATAGTCTTCGATAAGCGTTGGTTCGTGATTTTTGGAATT